TTGAGCCTCTTTGTCCTTATCCCCTTCCTGATCAACACATTTGCTTCATCCAGGGAAGAAATAACTATGAATTTAACCCCTTTTCTAAAAGGGGTTAAAACGTAGACTGTTTCTTTTAGTTTATCTATGCGGAAAGAAAGTCTATGGCCTTAGAAGTTTATCCTCACTTCTGTTTTGCTTCTGGAGAAGATCATTATTCTGTTTTGCCTTCCTTTTAGAAGAGTGCTTTGCTGAACAGGGCAGTCAGGTAGTCATTTATTGTTGCACATATCTGCTGAATTGGATTAGTGGAAGAATAACAGCACTGTGGCTGCTCCAGTGGCTGGAATTTGTGAGCTAAAAACTGGGGGACAAAGTAAGTTTTAAAAGAACATCCTACACTTCAAACAATGTCCTTATAACAGAGCTAAGTTTGGAAACACTAGTAAATTTGCGGCCCTGTAAGTGGAGTAGTTGAATCTCCACAGAAGCATCTGATTTCAGCCCACATATGGGGCCTTAGCAGCTTGAATGCAGATGGGTGTAGCCTCGGAGTCAAGACTTGTCGAGTGCACATGGATCCTCGTAGCTGGCCACAGTCATAGCAGCATGTTGTATTTAGTGCTATTTTCCTCGAATATGGACATCTGTCAGCCTTGATATTTACCTACTGTTGGTCATCCATCCATCCATTCATGTTGTCTTTGAAATAGTAGACTCCTGGTTTATTTTGGTTTATTACCTGCCTTATGAGATATATTGTAATAATATGTGAGGTTCCATTTTTATCTTATCCTATAACATGAAATGGTATGTTTCCAAAGACAGATTACATAAGACCATTTCAGTTAAAATGTAGTGGATTTTGTACGTCTTTGGATTCTGGGAGGGACAGCCTAGATGTCAGATTTCGTGACTGCAAATCAATTTGCAAAAGGCTCTGTGAAGGATAATACTTAATATAATTCAACTTCTCTTCCATTAACATCTTGAACTATGGTGTAAAGTTTTGTATTTTTATTCTAGAAATATAGCTGACATTAGCATTCAGGTATATAGTTCAGTTTATCTCTAGTGAAAAGTCTTTTACAATTAAGTTAAATACAGCACAAAGAACATGGAAAATCAATAATATTTCATTTCGTTTAAGTAAGATCTTTCTATATATACTTGCTTGGGTTGCTTATAAATTTCTTTCTTTACACAAGTATTTTATAATAGATGTCAGTTACAGATTTAACTGTAGCAAAAAATAGTACAGGTTCTGTAGTAGCTTTAATATATCAGGTAAAAAACTGCTTAGCTAAGTATCAGTGTAGGATAGTGGTATAGTCTCCTAAACAATATTTTTAAAATGTAGTAATATTAATAGGAGAGCATTTAGGACTATAACATGCGGAATATTGTAGAATTCAGCATACTGTGCTTTAAGATATTTAAAACGTTTCCTTATTGGTCTATTTATCATAACCCTTTACACAGAGTAGACATACTACAAACATTTGTTGATGGGCGTGAACTTGCATCAAAAATTTTTTTAATCTAATTACTCTCCTACTAGTGATAGAAGATTTAATTACTTTAGTGTTATCTTTGTAGTCTAAAAATACTATCCTAATATTACCTACAGTTCAAACTGAATTCTCGTGGCATTAGCAAGTGATTGATAGAATTGGTTAAAACTAATTTGTTAAAGTATTGGAAGCTGAACATTGGGCAGATTCACTTTCTTAATAGCCATGTATACATCAGTTAGTTTAAAAGCACCCTCTAGGGGTGTTACTAAGGAAACATTTCCTTCTTTTTTCAGAAATAGCTAACCTGAGTACAAATTAACTACTCATCAGATTCTGCTTATTCACAAATGTGACCACATTGGTATTTAATGTGGCTGCCAAAGTAGATAGAATAGTATTTTAAATTGTCTTCACCACTGAAATATGTAAACTGGAGACAATTTTGCTTCATTAATATATGCTTGAGGGTAAATGAAGGATGGATGTGGGTTGTTGTTGTTAGGTGGCTTTTACAGGTAGGGCTCTGTAAAAGGCATTTCCTGCCTGTGAGATTTGTTTCTGCTTATGGGAGGTTGATGAATTTCAGAGTAAATTAGATAGACAGAAGCCAGTTAAGACTTTGGTAAATAACATAAGTGAAGAAAAATAAGCATTTAATATCTAAATGAAAATACGTAACTGCTTTAAAAATACTCAGCATTTAAATTTGTAACCTAATTATAGGAGATGAAAATATATAAATGAAACAGGAATTCTCCTCTTTATTAACCCTGGTGTGGTACTGAAAAATTATGAATTGTTCTAATTGCTGGAAAAACTGTTGATTTGTTCCATTTAATTATCTTATTGTTTCACTTTTCATAGTATGGGAATATTAGTTTAAGAAGGAGGGACCAGGGCCAGGTACGGTGGCTCACGCCTGTAATCCTAACACTTTGGGAGGCCAGGGTTGGTGGATCACCTGAGGTCAGGAGTTCGAGACCAGCCTGACCAACATGGTGAAACCCCGTCTCTACTAAAAATACAAAACTTAGCCAAGCGTGATGGCGCACGCATCTGTAATCCCAGCTACTCTGGAGGCTGAGTCAGGAGAATCGCTTGAACTCTGGAGGCGGAGGTTGCAGTGAACCAAGATCGGGCCACTGCACTGCAGCCTGGGCAACGAGAGCGAAACTCCATCTCAAAAAAAAAAGGAGGGACCAGGATACACACACACACACAACACACACACACACACACACACACACACACACACACTGACTCACTCACTCACTCACTCACTCTATTTTTTTGAGATAGAGTTTCGCGCTGTGCCCAAGCTGGAGTGCAATGGCATGATCTCGGCTCACTGCAACCTCTGCCTCCCAAGCTCAAGTGAATCTCATGCCTCAGCCTCCGGAGTAGCTGGGACTACAGGTGACCACCACCATGTCTGGGCTAATTTTGTATTTTCAGTAGATACGGGGTTTTACCATGTTGGCCAGGCTGGTCTCAAACTCCTCACCTCAAGTGATCCACCCACCTCGGCCCCCCAAAAATGCTGGGATTATAGGTGTGAGCCACCGCTCCTGGCCCAGGATATTTTTATATGTCTAAGAAAAGATGCTTGTTTGTTTGTTTCTGGAAATGATAATGACTTTTGTCTCTTTAAATATTTCTCTATACTTTAAATAACAGAAGAGAAAGGCTTATCACATATAACTAACATTTATTAATAGCTTCATTAGGTATGGCCACTGTAGATGTTAACTTTTTGACTATAAAAGGAATGAATTAATTTTAGTGATCTAAGATTTTTATAATTCCAACATTCTGATAATTAATCTTATATCCTAAAATTTTAAAATGATAATTCAAAAATTTTTAGGTCAGAGTATAAAATATATGTACTGATTGACAGAAGTGAAAATGGTTTTGGTCTTAAGTAGACTCATTAATAATTCATAAACCTGGTATGAATTTTCCTCTTAATCTTTACCTAACAAAAGATGGAGTTAGTCATCTATGTGCTTCAGGCATGAAAAAATTCCTCTGGGACTCAGTGTGGGATCCTAGTATCTTGGCCTTTGAAGCTGGAGAAGTGTCATTTCTTGCTTTCTCCACTTGGGTACTCTGTGAGCCCCTGGCTGTTTGGTGTATCCTTAGAGTTTATATGTTTTGTCTGTGATTAGAGAAGCTCAGTGCAAATGGGTTTGTTTAGCTGCAGATGCAGTTGGGCAGATACAGATTTCAACACTTTTTAAAGGTCTTATAAGGGGAAGAAAGTAAAATTTTAGGTCAAATAGTTGCCAACTTAATATTGACTTAGAATTATTAAACTGCCACTTATATACATGTGACATTTGATACTTGTATATTTTTATTATATTTTCTACTATTGAATATATTTTATTTTTCAGAATGGGACAATTTTTAGTTTTAGTTGCCTTTTTTTTCTGTTTTGTTACCCAGGCTGGTGTTTAACTCTTGGGCTCAAGCTTGGACTATGGGAGTTGGTATATTCTTTTTAATTGATTAAGGGGATTGTTCATTTTAATGTTGTGTGATTTAAAGGACATACATTTATAAACTACCTTTTCCTAAGCAATTTGCATACTAAAGTCTGGCACATTTTTCTTGGTGTTGGGGCAGTGGTGGTAAAGAAGACTAAGTCCTCGTCTTCAAGAAGTTTTTCCCTTGTAATAGGTAGTAATAGGCAATATTCATTTAGGCAAGTATGTGAGATAATTTCAGATAAAGTATAGTGAAGGAACCAAAATAGGTAATATGTTGGAAGGAGATTGAAATTGGGAAGGAAATTGGCAGAGTTGGAAAGCTGTTTTAATAGTGAAATTAACCAAGGAAGGTGTCTTAAGCATTTGACAAGAGGGACCACTTGGGAATGATCTAGGGAATGCAGAGAGTTGCAAGCACAAAGACACTAGAATGATTGGAAAGGAGGCTAATGTAACTGGTGTGTAGTGGCCAGGGGAAATGATAGTCACTAGGTTGAGTATATTGGCTGGGTCACATGATGTGCAGCCTTAGAGATGAAGAGTGTGGCTTTTTAATAGTTGTAGGAGGAAGTCATCGGGGAGGGAAATGAACTAGTGTGCTTTTGAAAAGACCTATCTAGTCTCTGAATATAGAACAGATTATAGAAGAGTGGAGAACAAGCAGACAAATCTTTTAGGATCTATTGCTGTGTCCAGGGAAGAGGTTGATGGCTACATGGTTCAGAGTGGTTGGGAAGTTCTGAGAAGAAGATGGATTTGTGATAGATACATAATAGTGAAGGACGAAAATGTGCTGATTTTTTGCCTTTACTGAAATCCTGTGGCTTGTGATATTTGTGGCAGCCTTGAATTTCACTGTATTGTGGCAAAGGAGAGAATTGGTCTTAGGGCAAATGGATGAGTTAATTTACAGTGTAGACTTCATACCAATCAGATTTTTATCTTTCTAAATCTGGCAAGTTGCAGTAGATATTTGATGTGTTTTAAATGTGACATTTTATTGTTGCAGGAAATGTTTTCATATTTGTCCAACCAAATAAAGAAGTTGTCAGAAGCCTACAATGAAAGACTGTTGCATACACCTCACAATCCCATATCTTTAGGTAATTCCTTTTTTCCTAAAGAAAAGCAAATATTACAATCCATCTCTAGGAAGAAGCTGGTATTTCTAGAGAAAGTGAGAGAACTCTTTCTGGTTATAATGATACTTCTAAATTCATCACAGTATTTTAATTTGTAAATTGAAGAAGTTTAGCCTTTTGAAATGCTTTGATATATTTCTGAGATAAAGCCAATGCACTGAGAGAACGAGAATCAGTATTAAGTATTATAATGAATATGCAGAAAATACTTAAAGTCCTGTTTCTAACCAGAACTCTAGTTATAAATAATTAAAACTTTCTCCAGGTCAGGTGTGGTGGCTCATGCCTGTAATCCTAGCACTTTGGGAGGCCAAGGTGGGAGGATCACGTAAGCTCATGAGCTCAAAACCAGCCTGGGCAACATAGGAGACCTTGTTTCTATTAGTTAAACTAAACAAATAAATAAAACGTTCTCTAGTTAACAAAACATCAGCATATCAGAAATCAAATCTTATGTTGTTTTTAATGCCATTATTGCTTATTTTCTTTAGCCTATGGATGTTAGAGAAATCTGTATTTATGATAATTTCACTTGTATATGTAAGGACTATGTGTTTTTGTCATGTAATATAGAGGCTACTAAAAACAATAATATAAATATTGATGTTTATTCACTTAATTATCTTTTAAGCTTCAAATTACCCCCTTTTAAATTGTGAATATATGTAATATAATGTTTCATATTTCACATATATCTGAAGAAAGTAAGGAAAGTGAATCATTTGTAACTGAAGCCTTTTTTAGGAATGGGCTTCTACGGAATACCATTTGAACACCAATATATAATAAAAACCACCCAACCAGTCTTTGCTGTTTTATGGTCTATGTAGATGTTATAGAAGGCGATACTGCGTAGCTTGAATTCTGGTTCTTCCATGTACTAGCCTGTGACCTCCTTTTCCCTCACGTGCAAAATTGCTAAATGATTGGTTGAGATTGTGAAGCATCTAGCATGGTGAGTCGTCAGTAAATGGTAGCTACGAGTGGTGCTATGTATGCAATCCGGTTTACCCACGCAGCCTCAGAATGACCATTGCCATTTCTACATGTAGAAGTTGATCTCACTTAGTTTTATATATGTACTGAAATATATCCCACATCCTCACTTTACAAGTTTTTAAAACTTGGTTGGATTTGAATGAACAGCCATGCTGATGATGTTATTGTTCCACCTATTTAGTTGGAAAAATTTACTCTCTGGAAGGATGATGTGGAAATTCTGTTTTGTATTCTGAGATGTTAATTTACATTAAAATATTTTTGTCTGATATGTGAAAAAAAATCCCTTCTGTAATTCATTAAGTACATTAAAGTGAAATTGTGCCACTTGACAATGAATAAAAAGTAATGTCTTCATCATTACTATTATTATTGAGTGATTTTTATGCCAGTAAACCAAGGCTTATTGGGATACTTTTTTCTTTTTCAGCTGTGACACTTAAAACATTAGATAAACACCATGACAAAGCTGTCACTCAGCTTGGCTCTATGCTTTTTACCAGACAGGTTTCTGGAGCCAGGTAAGTATGTTTAAAAGAGACATGGATTTATTTGGCTTTTCAAAGTTAATTCCAATAAAGTATCTTTCCTCAACAATGGTCCCCCAAGTATATGCTGAACTATACCTGTGAATTCATCATGGAGTAAAGAATGATGAGTTAGAGAATCTGTAAGGCTGCTACATGCCCACCTGTGGACTGCTTATGCCTGAAATAGTCACAAAAAGTCAAAAAAAGGATTTGTAAGGCTACTATATACCCACTTGTGGACTGCTTATGCCTGAACCTTGTTTGTTTTCATAGACGTACAGAAACAAAGTTTTATTACCTCTCTTCACAGATTTTTTGTCTTTATTTCCTTTGTTAGAAGATCTTTGGCGAGTCACAGTATGGCATTAGAAATAAGTCATCTTCATCACTAAATTGAAGTGAAAGTGTTGTTAAGGAAAAGCCTTCTTCCTAAACTAAAAAAAAGATTATGCAACCCTTGCCTATCTAACTGCCTCAGAAAACTGTATTTTTTCCTCTACAAATATACATGGTCTGAAAGTGAATCTCATTTTTCATTTTAGATTTGATGAGGTCAGAGAAAAATGACTTGAAAAGAAATATCTTGTTGTAAATACTTTTCTTTACATGCTTCTCTTATAACAAGAATTTTTCTTTAACTACCAGAAGATAGAGATTTTATATCACAGGACAGCTTGATGAACTCTTATCTATATGCAGTATAGTTTTGACACTTCTAAAATGATTTTCTTGACTTTGCTTTTAGTATGGCCACTATTTGTCTTTATGTTTAGGTTGAGCTTAATTGACTCCTTAAAAAAAATGATTAAACTATTAGAAATCTGCTTATATCTAATATGCCAGTGAACTAAAGCTTTAAAAATGCAGTTGCCTATGCTGAATATTGCTGTTTGCTGACCACCACCCCACTATAAACAGTTACTTAACTTCTTCTGGACCTTTGCTTTAAAACTGTCCATTGCAATGCATTGATCAGATAGACTTTTTGTTTATTGATTATTTGAGGTAACACATGACAATTACAGTGGTTTGACTTGCAAATTTCAATATTTCAGTAAACTGTGCCTATATGAAGTAATTTTCCAGATTTGGCACAAAACCAAATAATTTTCCTTTTACCTCTTTGAAGAAGATGTAGAGGTGTTTGAGATTCCTAGAGCTTCAGGTAAAGAGAAAAAGACACTGGCAAAAATAAAATAAATAAAAAGAGATTCCTAGAACTTTTAGATCTTTCAGAGAAGATAAGTAAATGATAATCATGAGATAGAGTTTTTCTGTGTAAAAAAGCAGTGTGTTATAGAATCATTCTAAAGTCAACCCGTTCTATTTTCGTAGGCTGTGATTTATGGCTGTTTTTAAACTTCTTAATAAGTGGATATAAGGCTTTGTAACACATATCTTTTGTTTATGGGTGACATTGTGTTACCATTACCAGACATATTAAATTGGTAAATCTTTCCTCTTTCAGGGTTGTGCCTCTTGGGTCTGTGCAAACTGTGAGTGGCTATACTTTCAGAGGCTTTATGTCACATACAAATAATTACCCTTGTGCTTACCTCAATGCTGCATCAGCCATCGGAATGAAGATGCAGGATGTGGACCTGTTCATAAAGAGACTTGACAGGTGTTTAAAGACAGTAAGAAAAGAACAAAGTAAAGAGAGTGATGACAATTATGACAAAACTGAAGATGTGGATATTGAAGAAATGGCTTTAAAACTAGATAATGTACTTCTTGACACACACCAGGATGCTTCTTCATGACATGCAGAGGGTTTCTTCTTGATCATTTGAAAGAAATGATAAAGCTGTAGTACAAGCAAGTAGTTTAAAGACAAGACTTGAGATTTTTGAATTGAGAATTTCATGGAGAATATTCAGTCAAGGAGTAGACTGTCGTCTGAACTAGCCATGGGTGATTGTTAAGTTTTCCATTCTTAGACTGCTTCAATCCTTGTGATCCTTAACAGGTTATAATATACAATTAGCATTTTTCTAATTGTTAGGATATCTGTCAGTTAAGCCTCATGGATCAGATAATTTTTACTAGTGTAATGACAGTAATATTACCTTCAATTATTTTTGAAATGCAGATCACACAGAATTGAGAAAGGTCTCTTATGCTACTAGATACTAGTTGTTTGTTGAAATGTGTAAGTCACAATGTGCCTGTAAAATGGACATTCCCCAGGGAAGCAGAGACAAGATAAAAACTTCCATTGTGACCCAAAAGCAGTGGTTCTCAACTGGGGATGATTCACTTATCCAAACAGCATCTGCGGACATTTTTGGTTGTCACAACTGGTGGGATGCCATTAGCATCTAGAGGATACAGGCCAGGGTGCTGCTCAACATCCTACAATGCATGGGCAACTCCCCACAACAAAGAATTACCCAGCCCAAAATGTCAGCAGTGCTGAAGTTGAGAAATACTCCTCTAAAGCAGAGAAACTCCCCCGAGTAAAGAGAAGTTTACCATAGCAACTTTAATTATTCAGTAGTACTTCAAAGAAGATAGCTTTATAAATGTCATCAAATATAGAGAATCTTAAGTGATAACTAGGGTCATGGGTTCTAAACACGTCATTATGGCACTGGTGCATTTTTCCATTTGGGTAAGGGAAACCGTTATTCCACTTACTGTTTTTGCTTTAAGCAGCCTGTGAATATTGGTTAGTTTGTTCAGATGTTGTGCACAGACATCATCAAAATTGGCTAACATACGCATTTTTGCTAGGAAGGGGAAAATCATATAGTGTGATAAACAGGGGTATTGCCCCCTTTCTGCCCATGTGTTCATTTTTCTAAGTCTGAAATTCCAGACTTACTTGCATTAACAATAATTTTGTTGTTAATTTAAGAAATAGACTGATATGTCATAGCCTGAAGAGTTACTGAAGCTTCTAAACATGCCACCATGCCAAAGCCATGTTTCTCAAAACCAGCTCTGTGGATCATTGTTCCTAAAAGGTGCTCATGGGGAGAAAATGTTCTGTAGACAAATAAATTTGGGAGCCACCTTTGCAAACCTGCCTGTTGGCATATTAAAGGCTCTAAGAATTGCTTCACTAACTAACCCAGTTTGAATATATCCTTATCCAAAGAGAAACTTATTTTTTAAAGTGAAGTATTTATTAACAGCCCATTGAACATACTTTTAAAAACACTACAGTAGAGAATGGTATGTTGCCTTCTGGGTTACATTTTTCTTATTGATTTGGCATTGTAACCTATATATAAGAAAGGGATTTTCTGGTATTTTGGTGACATTGTGCATTGTCCCAGACTGTTTGTAAACATGAGCTCAGATAGATACCTCTTCCTTTAATGTGTAAGGTAGACTCCTATGGTCACTGGCTTGACCGCCTTGGAAGTCAATACTATTTTGAGATATAAAGTTTTTAATTATGAATATCACAAAGTTTATTTTAAAATGTATTTATTTTATCTTTGGGGCTCAAACATTTAAAAAAATTACATAGTTGTAATAACTCATTTCAAGGGAATAAATACTGGATTAAAAAGTGTAAATTTTTAATGAGAATTTGGGACTAAATTGCAGAGCCGATAAAGCTGAAGAGTTGCAAACTCTAAAGTCAAGAAAAGCATTGAAATGATGTTGCAAATGTAAATGCTGGCAGTGCAGCTTACCACACATGTAAGCCAAAATTGTTTTATAGAGCAAGTGATCTATATTGTTGTGATCATCATTTAGCTTAAGAAAGGCCAGAGCTGGGAGACTCGCAAATGTTTTTTCATCTGCAGTATATCAGCAGTTCTTGGGCTTCAGCTGCTGAATAGATAATAATTCTAATTGAAGACAAATTACATGAACTCACATGTGAATGATAGATATGTTACAACATTTCATTCCTGATGCATAAAATCAGCTGTGGTTTTTAGTATTAACCCTTTCTTTTTCTGTGGTTTTGGAATTCTAGCTCTATTCTTTCTGGCTTAAAATTTGACTCTGAGATCATGGAATTCACAACAGTTTTAGAAGAGTTCTGTCTATTCAGGCTTTCCTTGGTCCTCACCCTAGTGTCATTTTCCCTTACTCCCATTTCCACATGTAAGTATTAAAAAGGATGTGTTTATTATAATTTGGTAGTACTGATTGGTAAGGCTCATCATTGGCCTTTGTTATATTTGCACTGTGACAAAGGCAGTGGATGATACATTTCCAATCATTGCTGAAGATAACCTCTTCTATCTTTGTGACCCAACTACCCTTATTAAAACTACCAGGTAAAATTTTGGAGTTAGATTTTTAAAGCCATTGGGCTATGGCAGTCTGCCTAGAAAAGAAAATTGAGAAACAGAATATTCTTTCAGTCTCTCCACAATGTGTTACTTACACATGGCAGGGAAAGGAAGTTTAAATCAAACCCACAGTTTGGTTCTTAGGTCCTCTGCTGATGAATTCTCACTCTATCAGGGAATGATATGTGACACCAGCCTTAGGAACCTGGTGTTTGACTGTAAATCTTTCTGTTGAGCTTTTTGTATTAGTTGAATGAAGTTAAAGAATATGAATTATTGAATGCAGTTCTGTTCAGCCAATAGGCACTTGATATACAGAATGGTAAATTTAAATATAAATTAAATTTTTCTAATATTATGATCAGTACTTAACTCCATTGTGGTTCTGTGTCTTTAACCGCCTCATAATAAGAACTCTCGTTGAGGACTGGGCTACAGAATGTGCTTTTAGACTATGTCTGCGACTCCCATAGATTTTTGTAAAATTTAAACAGAGTTAATTTGTGTTTACTGCTGATGTTACTTTAATTTTGAATTAGCAGTTCATCCTGAGAGTTATATTCAAGTGTCCTTTCACAGAGGAAAATAACAAACAGCTGAAAACAGCAACAATAAAACTGGTGAGTCTGACTCATATTTCACTGGGAGAAAGTTTTTGGAATACATACACATTTGGTGTATGTAAGAGTTGGGTTTTCTTTTCCCACTTTCTGAGATATACTAACTTGTGCCAGGCTCTTAAATAATTTTGTTATGTTTTGCATTTTTGAGGCCAACCTTATTTTGCAACTGAAAAAAAGTCCAGTTTTGCATACACAGAAGTTTGGTTACTTTAGAAGTCTCACAGACTGAATAATTTGATAATAATTGAATATGATACTAACAGCTTTTTAAGAAGAGGTTCTATTAGTCAGTTTTCTCCTTGTCTGCAATGTCATGTTGGCTAAATGTCTCTTGTGGCCAGTCTTAGCAGACAGACCTAACACTCGCTGCATCCTCTTGTGCCTTACTTTTTACTTTCCTTTCGCCATTATGGTAGGTACACATGTAAGATGGTAAGTTTAAGGCTAATGAACATGTGTTTGTAATTTCCTTCTCACTATTCTGCAGTTAAAGCTAAGGCCTTAGGCAAAATCTAGAAATGTTTATGTTGTTTTATTTTTTATCAAGTGGTGTCGACTTGAGAAGTACCAAGAAAGGTTGTGCTTACCTGTGTAACTGTGGGGATTAGCCATGAGATCATGAAGCTGAAGTCAGCCTGCTAACCAGCCTGTTGTTCCAAAAGGAAAAGATGTTTCCAAAAATGTTTTTGCTGTAGACTGTTTAAAAATAAAAATAAATTATATAATTTATTACATGAAATAAATTTTTAATAAGGCACTGACAGTATATTATTTTACCTAATCCTTATGATAAATAAAATCTGAGAATACAAATAACTGACAGTAAATTACTTGCCCATTTTTGATTCAGTCATCAGTATCAGCTTGTTGAGAAATCAGCAGGGAAAGTCATACCTATAATGAGACTCATGAGTCATGGCCGGGGGCTAAATTGTATTAAAAAAAGGAGAAGAAGAAGGAAAGAGATGATATTCCAGCAACCGTTTTGCAAACGTTGTGTTGACTGTAGAAAGTACTTAGAAGCATGGGCACTTATTAACCATGTGAGGTCACATATTTAGCCTCTTTGAATCTCAGTATCATCAAATATAAAATGGATACAACCTTATAGGAGTGAAGATTAAATGAGATAATATATGGTAGAGTGTAACTCAGTACCTTTGCATAAAGTACTTACTGTTAATAACTACTATTACGCTTTGCGAAAAGCTATACCATCATAAGTTTTGCTAGACTTAAATGTATTCATTATTATGTAGTTTATTCAGTAGAATTTTTTTTGAGGGGGAGTCATCAATGAGTTTTGTCGGCAAATTAATTTAAAAGTACGTAGTTGATTATAGATGACCATTATTTTTTATTTTCAGGGTTTTTCTGTTTTGGCTTTTATGGATTTTTTTTAGTTTTGCATTTTTGAGAATTTTGTTAAAAACCGTATTTTAAGTGCATTGACTAATTACCTGAAATTTCAGATTACAACCCAGAAAAGATATACAGAAAAAGTTCATACACAATGACTTCAACACTGATTATATTATCTGACTAAAATTTGTGGTATAATAGGCAGATCTGCAGGCATGGCAATTGTTCAGTATATTTAGCCCTATTCTTACATGACTTTATAGTAGAATAGCCGATCATGGCTCCCAAGTGGGTATCTCTAGCAGACTTCCCTCCTGAGCCCCACACTTGAATGCAGCTGCCTAGTCAACATCTTTTGCGTGTCTGATGGACATCTTAACCACCACATGCCAAAGATGATTCCTTGATCTTCTGCCCTAAAAATCTGTTCACCCACAGCCTTCCTCACCTTAGTAAATCATATTTCTCTTCAGTTGCTTAGGCCAGAAACCTTGGAGTAATCCTCCACTTTTCTCTCTCCCATCCTACTCCAAATCCATCAAGAAATCATGTTGTAGCTACTTATTTATCCAGAATCAAGTCATTTCCCACCTGCTCTGTAACCAGCTAGTTCTGAACTCCCAGTGTTTCTTGTCTGAATGATGACTACTCTTGGTTACCCTGGCTCTACTCATGTCCCTTTACCATCTCTTCTCACAGCCAGAGTGATGCTCTGGAAACATAGGTCCTGTCACGTGTCTGTTCAGACTCCTGCAGTAGCTCCCATGTCGCTCAACGTATAAGCCCAAGGCCTTGCTGTGTCCCAAAAAGGCCTACAGCACTGGCCATTGTAACCACTCCCCCTTCATCTTTCTGACCTGACTTCATCATTAACCCCCCCCATTCCAGCCAAACTGGCCATCTTGCTGTTCCTCAAAGGCATGCTTAGCCTTAGAGCCTTGGCTCAAGCTGGGCCTTCCACCTGGAAACATCTCTTAACCCAGATGCTTGGCTAACTCTCTTCCTTCATGCATTTTATCAACGTTCTCCCTTTTCAGTGAGCTCTACCTTGACTACCCTTTTTAGTACTGTAGCTATCTCCCCCCTTCCCTTAACATTGGGTAAAAATTGAGGGTGGGGCCTCAATTTTAGGGTTTGTGAGAATCACCTGGAGTTGTTAAAATGTAGATTCAGATTCTAGGTCTGGGGTGGGGCAGCATCTCTAGCAAATCCCTAGGGCATGCCTGCAGTGCTGGCCCATGATGCACTGAGGAGCAGAGGTCCACCATACCATTCATCCACATATTTATTTTGTACTGTTTGTCTCTCCCTCTCTGGCTATGACATAAACTCCACTGAAGCAGTATCTTTGTTTTGTTCACTCATGTATCCCAAGCACCTAAACAGCACCTGGAACATGATAGACACTCAAAATATTTATTGCATGAATGATTCAATAGGTATTAAATATTTATATAACTATATATGAAATGCCATCATGTCTGATTGAAACTTCTCAGTGGTTTTCCATCTCTCCTAGACTAGAGCTCTAAAAATTTTACTTGGGTGATAGACACAAAGAGGTTCTGTTCAGATCTTGCACAGAAAGACTCTACCCAGCTGCAAGGAATATGCTTAGCTGACAGCCTTCCTGCTGTTACCTCCTTCAAGGTTAGCTCAAACCTGTCTTTGAGCCAAAAGTCATGGCCTTCAGCCAATTTCTGAGCAAGGCCCAGGTCCAAGGGCCCAGCCATTCCCACCCAGTGCGGCTCTGGAGCACCCTGCTGTGCTGGCAGACGCTTGGTTGGGTCTGCATCCCAGTCTGAGGGCTCCCCTGCCCTCGCCTGCTTTCCCCCTTTTCTTTTTCAGGTGTTAACTCCTCAACAAACCTTTTGCTCTCTTAACTTTGCCTCAGTATGTGCCTCCCAGAGAATTCAACCTTTGATACCCGTGGCCAACAAAATAAGCTACACTCTTCTGCACACCTTTCTACCCGTTCTCTCCCTTGCTCTAAGCATGTCTGCTAAACCCAGTTGCACCCACTTAGTGGTATTCCAGTGACATCAATCCTCAGTAAGGTTGATTAGCCTCATGAATCTTTTCTATGTTGGCTATCACAGATTATGCCATTGTTCTGGCCTGGCATCATTTTTTAGCTGTTTGATCATTTAAAAATACTAATTACTGTTTTGAGGAACAGTTCCTGATTTAATGATGTATCACACCTTTGATAAGTGGTCCATGTGCCATGAGAAGGTGAATCAGTTAGTTGTTGAGTGACCAACCTTTGGGAAGAGGTTTCTCCCAGGAGCTACAGTGATCACAAAGTGACTTCAGCCCTGGCTCTGCCACTTAGTGACCGAGTGAAACTGCACAACTTAACTTTTGACTCATCAGTAAAATGGGGATAATATCTCACAGGATTGAAATAAAGATCAAATGGAAGAATCTATCATATATAAAGTACTTAGCAAGGAGTCCCATCTAGCATGTGGTCTGATAGTAGCTATTATTAAATGAACCTTATTTTAAAAAACTGAAAAAGATCGTCAATAAAATAGCACCAGAAACAGCCTTTGTAAAATGTAGTTGTGTTTTGTTGGCCCTGATTTTTATTAAATCCTGTTCCGATAAAGAAAGAAAATGAAGCCTGGAACCCTCTTCAGAGCACTTTGGAGATGACCACTCGCTGCCCTCTCCTTTGCTCCCGCCTGACTTGGCGCTGTTGGATTCATTTCTTTGTCTTAAGGCTTTTGTCTCCTGTTAAATGCAGATGCCTCAGGAAATGGATAACTGCTATTTATCCTTATTAGTTGGCGACATCTTACTTTGGATGTATTTATCAGATGTTTCCCTAAGAGTAGGCTTTTTGTTTAAAAAAATTTTTTTTATTATAGGAACTTTCAAGCATATACCAAAAAATATGATGATGCCCAGCATCCATTCATCAGCTTTGGCACATATCAAATCCAATTTTGTTTCACCTACACCACCAGCTAGTCCTCCCCCATCACTTTAAGCAAATCTCATCATCATTTCTGGGTGTAGCTCACATTTCAAAATGTGTCACCAAAGGAAAGGTCTCATTTTGCTGTTTTAAGTCACAATACCATTATCACACCTGAAAAATTTAACAATAATGTCTTGATGTCATAAAATATGCTGTCAGTATTCATTTCTGCAATTACCTTTCTTTTACCTTTGAGTCGGGATCCAAATAAGATCACCGAAGGGTAGATTTTAGTGGAAAAAGGGTAAGAGGAGGGAATCAGGAAGCATTAGGAACCAGTGACAAGTAGAGAAGTACTGAAAGGGGAGGTTGAAAGTGTCTGAGACTTGAGACAGTGTTTGTGTGTTATTTAAACAACTTTCCCCTGGGTTAATAATACTGAATTTACAGGAGATGTTCATACCTCCACACAGACTCCCAAAGATCTTTCAGGATGCTGGAGAAATTACAGTTTGACATGCTTCAAGTTTTGCTGGTTATCATGAGAAATGGACTTGAGTCCACACTGGCGTGTAATAATTCACTTTCAATGCCAGCTTTCCCAATGTGAGGCTTTAAGTTAGAACCCCAAAAAGGATTAGGCCTGTAATGTGCTGGTGGTGGGGTGGTAATCGTCGTAGCTATATAGAGCTATCTTTTATTCTAAAATAGATTGAAGACAAAGCAAGCTATGCTGGGCTCCTGCCAGCCCGGCTCAATGAGCTGAGAAGGCAGAACACCATCTCAAAATGGGTGTTTAGAGCAAAGGGGAGCAGAGAGGCACCACCCGAGGTGGAGCAGAGGAGCTGACCGTGGTGTTCCTGTTGGAAGAGTCCGCCTGATTCACTTCAGGGATCATGAGAGAGACGAAGGAGCTTTTGGGAGAACTTGCTTGAGACCAGATCAAAAGCTGAGAGAGATCTATTCCCACTCCTCCTCCAGAAAACTTGGTCATAGGCAATAAGTGGGTCCTTTACACCACAGTGGCAGAAGGTACTTTTCATTGGAAAACTCTCAAACAAACCAAACCAGACTTCGAGAAGTTAACCTAGAAGTATGGGATCCAGTGTCCCTAGGAATCCATTAGTCTAATGAAATTCCCCATTTTAGCTTTCCCAGCTAATAAAACAGATTCTGAGAGTGACAACCCAAAGCCACACAGCCCCTTCAGGATGGCATTGAGGCAGGTCTCAGGCTGCAGCCAACAACGGCTTGTGATGGCCAGGGGCAGATCTGAAGGAGGTAGAGAAAAACCTGCAAGACAACATCTTGATCCAGAAAACGTTTTCCTGGTTTTTGGATCAGGTTTTCTTTTGATTCCCTATAAAATGCCTCAATTTCTTGTTTCCAGTGTCTCTCTCCCCACATCCAGTTGATGTGCTGTTCGTCCTTGCCTGGTGACTCAGACCTTCCTGGGGTGGGAG